TTCGCGTATATATGAGGTAAAGGGTTAAATACACGAAAACTGAATTTTTACGAGGATGGATCAATATGTAATGTAATATGGTCAATTGATTTAACAAAAGAGGAAATAATTTACATTTTTATTTCAAACCTCCGAAATAATTTCCTTTACAGAAAAGTTGAACAAGTTTCAGACGTTTAGTCCAATTTAAAAAAAAATGCTTCAACATAGTCGTTAGGTATACCTTTCAAATACTGAAAAATGGTCTACCCATGTCCGTTTCTACTCTTGTTGTGATGTTGCTTCTAGACGGTTTATTTTAGTTCAGTAGAGAAGAAAAGACACAAGGTGTTGTCTGGAGAATACGATGCATGTATGGGCAGACACTCGTTTGTATCAAAAACAAAACTGTAACAGTAAGCTCATTTGTGTGCTGCAGTGTTGTCATGCAGAAATACAGGGCTTTCAGTTTGTTTGTTTTAAATGTTAATAAAATTCTTAATTCGTTGACTGCACACATGATTTTCGTATCATTTGAAAGCACCTATTTTGAAGCATAAGATTAAAGGTGTTGCACTTTTTCCATTTTCGATATGAAACTTAATTTATTTTTTTATTTTTATTTTATTTTTTTTTAACATTTCACAAATTTATTGCATGTTTTCAACAAACGTAGCGTGTAATTTAAAAACAAGAAAACATCATATTTATTTATAAAATAATGTAATACTGAATTATTTAAGTACAAATTCAATCTTAACATGGAAGATTGAATTCAAATAAAAAATTCAAATAAACAACCATTATACAAAAATGTATACTCCCCGAGTAGAACTTTATATAATCTTGAAAGTAAATACAAGCGTGGAAGTACGTAAAAACAGATGCATTTGTTACTCTATGTCACGACATAAAATGTCAGCTTTGCAATGAACACTTAAAGTTGATAATGATTGCTTATCTATCAAACTTCAACTGCGTTTTTTACGTTCTGTAGTTCAATATTAGCAGTGGTAGCTACACATTTGCTTTTCTAAGCTCCCACCTGCACACCGCCCGCAGTGGGAAACAAATAGCCCCTGATAACCCAAATGCCGCCCAAGCTAAATAAAAAGCCCCCTCGTAATCATCAGCCTCATCTGAAAGTGCACCTGTAATATAATATAATATATTATTAATCATGGTAATAGAAATCGTTACACTCTTCATTATATGTTAATTTATGTTTCTCAATTTAAGTCTAATATTTATTATTCATTTAAATATATGTGGCGTAACATATTATGAGCGTAGCGATAAAACTGAGCGGTGTGTGCTAAAAGATACTGGAGTACAGTTGAAACGAAGTGAAACATGTTTACTGTTTATACGAAAACAAGGTACATATATTTAGCAACATTACATTAACAAGTGCATTAAATAGGCTAAATAATGGTTATATATATTCCAATAGATTCTTTCCTTTCATAATTGTTTGATTCGTTCATTTTTTAACTACAAAAATGTCTTATATTAATAAGTGTTTTTACAACAACAAAAAATCTAGACATTGGCCTTTGCTGTACACGTATAGGTACAGATTCAATTTCTTGTATCACAGTTCTCGAAATCGTTTCCTGGAAACTTTCGATATTTTACTGACTTTAATTATAAAGTCTCTGGTTATTTAAAGAGATCCATTTCAACCTGTTAAAACTTTTTGCACAAAGTTTTCACTCAAACGGTCGATGGAAACTTTCACAGTAACTTTAATTAAATCAGATATAACAAACATAAAAACATCATGAACCTCCTGCATACATAATCTTTAACAATCATAAAAAGTATATTTTTTTTTTGCATATTCATTGTTTTGCAAACACATATCTCATGTAACACGTTCACGCGATTTTTTTTTTTTTTTTTTTTTTTTTTTTTGACATTATTTATTTTTCTCGTCAATAGGTATATGCAGGTCGAGGACATCTTACTCTATTCCGTACATTATATTTGTGTATATAAAAACATATGAAATAATATAACTGTAACAAGCATATAATGTATTGCAAGGGTTATGACCAATATACAATTACAACCATATTTACCAATGATACATATAATCATATGTTATATATATTTTTAGTTAACAAGGAACTAAATTATATATTTGTTTTTATATGAAAAAAGAAGAAGAAAAAAGAGAAAGAAAACAGGTTTTGCAAGTAATATATTTTTGATCATTTATACTTCTGGCTATCGTTTTCAGCTTTACAAACATATGAAAGGTTAACTATAGCTCTATCTTTTGACAAAAAAGAATCCAGGTCTTATTGAAGGTATCTGAATCATTTTGGTAATTTGCTTTCTCTCTCAAAATTATAAATTTGGTACTTAATATATTGATGTGCTCTTGTAGAATTTGGTACTTGTTCTTTTACTCTACAGTTGTAAAATATATCTTTTCAGAAAAAGGAAAATCACATTTACTGCAGTTGAATTACTATCTTTCAAACAAGGATAAAGTTACAACAGTTGAGCAAAGATCTAAAAATGCCATACTTTTTCAAAAACAGAAAATATTAAATTTTTATATGTTTTAGTTGTTACTGTCGTCGTCGTCGTTATTGTTGTTACTGTTTCCGAAAAATCTCACCCATTTCATTATTTATAGATGATAATATAATTATAATCTGTGATTAGTTTGTATTCGTTAAATAGAAATAAAATATAATAAATATAAAGTTGAAATCTGCACGATTGTTAGTTCCTGCAGTGCGCAAAGTTATCTTTAAAAAGTATGCCCTATATTTTGAAAAAAAATCGTTGAATATCTACAAAGGTTGTTAATAGTTTTTTCTGTTTGTGCTTCGTTAACATCTCCAATATTTGTACTTTTTTATTTTGTTTCGAATAATAGATATATGCATATCTAGGTGCTGCTATAGTATTTTTTTTCCGTTTGCGTTGTTTGTATCACTTGCAAATGCGTTTGCTCCTTTTTCAGTCGATAGATGGCGCATAGGCAAAGACACAAAACAAGGAAATATAATGAAGATGGGGTTCGTTGCAATAGACCGCATGTATTTTACTATGACTATGATCACACTGTTTTGTCAACATTTGACATGTTTGCAAAAAAGCTCTGCTCATCAAGAGGTTTGGCAATCTTTCGTTTATAAATCATGATTTATATTATCGTAGTGAAATCTGTTTGTACTTGACGTAGTATATAGAGCTTTTCTCTGCTAACAAAGTGAACTATCATTGTCGTCGTTACTTGACGGCAACATATACAATTAACAAGATTTGACTATTTCTATCTGTAAACCGCCATGAAAATAATCATAGCATATGATAAAAAAACGACACAAATAATATATACAAGAAAAGCATTGATGCAAAGCATCAAAGGACGTCCAAGCAAAAAATGCAGCAATTGAATTGAATATTTTTTGTAATAATCTATTTTGTTATATGAATAATACATTAATATTAGCACGTTACTTGGCGATTTTCTCTTACATTTTGAAAATAATAAAATACATAATTATATAATATTATATTATAATTGTTATTTTTTATGGTCATAAATGTAATATCGTGATGAATAATAGCAACGGATATATACAATCATTTATAATCCATTTGCGTAACGCCTGATCAACACCACACTTGCGTATTGTCCCTTATTATGTTATCGCTGTTAGCGAAGACCCCTTCTTAAGATATCTGTTCACACTTATTACCATGTTGATCATGTTGAGCATGTTTTATTATACAATAATTGTAATATCTATATTAATATTATTTTTTTACATATTTTATAAATATTGTTTTCATTTTTGTGTGTTTATGTGCCATTTTAATACTGATTTTTTACGTATACTACTTTTTATTGTAACCAAACTAAGTGATAAACATTCATTTTGGAAAAAAAACTTATTTGTCTGTAACGATATCAAATATCTACTCAAAAACCGGGAGAGACCGGACAATAAACGTGTGATACTATTCGCCGGTCTCTAGTAAATCGCGGTCAAAATAGACCGGGAGAGACCGGGGATTACCAATAGGAGACCGGCGAATAATACATTCCTCTATAAATAAATTTTCAGGCTAAGGTCATCATTCTATTTACAGCTTTCGGATACATGTACAACAATAACATACCATGTACTACAAAATGATAATAAAATCCCGAAGAGCGAGATTAATTGACGGAAAAGATTATTTCATTTGAATATATTTGCATTGCGAAATTCTCCAGTTCGCTATTCATTGTACATATCTTAAATAATCAAACACCCTCATACCAATTGGAATGATCGGCTATTATAACCGACTGAAAAGCCCGAGAAGTTGCTGCCGCCCTGTCCCAAAATCTGATTTCATTCCATAAGAGGCGCCGCGCTTCGGCGCGGACGCCAAAAATAGGGCGTCCACGGGCAAGCCATCCGCCATGTCTGTTTGGACTACCTATATACTAGTGTATAGAATAGAAATACTATCTTCTTACACGAAGCTTGAAAACATTGTGTACGCTTATGCACGAGTATACTATATTCAGAAAATTTCTTTTCAAAGATCAAACATTAGTTCTTGTGTTAATGAAAGAACTTCAAAGAGTCTATTTCACGAAAGAAATTCTAATCAACTTCCATCTATTATCATTATTAATACAGTCGAAACATTATCTCCCCTGACTTATTATTCTGTTATAGATCAACAGGCTTTCAAGTGTATAAAGCTTTATCTATAAAGATATGTAAAAAAAATCAGTAAACTAGTGTTGTTTTATAGCCATGTGGTCGTTTCTTGGCCGATCTGTTACATAGACTATGCAATTAAACATACATTAATATTAATAATACACATTGTAATCAAAAGAATGACCTGTTATGCTGCTATTAAATTGTGAACCAACAATTATATTGTTACAATGTGAACATCTACTTCGTAAACATTGGCTAGATAAAAGCGTGCGATCAAGTAAAGCACTTCTCATAAGATAATCTCGAATATTTTTAGGATATATTTTTTTTGATTGATATTAATGTAGATACGTGTATATAATCATGTAGATAATGTGCTTTTATAAATAGTGCATGTTTAGTTAGTGTAAGTGTATATATATCATTTATGTGTATAATGCGTTAATCAAATAATTCAACCCTATAATAATAACTTCCTTGTTTTGGGGGGTTTTTTTACCATAGCGCTTCCTGTGCTATTTTTTGATATTGGAAAAACCCAAATGTTACTTATAATAACATCCTATAAACCCTTTGACTATGGATAGAAGCAGACGATCCAGTAATACAGACATATTATGAGGAATTAATAAGCCTAGGACGACAAAAGGTATGTTCATTTTTAATTTATTCATAGTACATTTCAGACAAAACTTATCTTTATATTTGTTCTTGATAAACGATTACTTTCGCAGAAGTTTATTTAAGTTTGTTAAATATTGTATGATAACATTTATACATATTTGTCTATTATAATTTTATATCGGAAGTTAAAAGGATATACGAAATGGAAAGTACAAAACATTACCTGAGAACTTAGTGCCTGAAAGTTTGAAGTTTTGTCTAATCGCTGATTTCTGCAATGAACAAATTTGATGTTTCTTAATGCTTAAAATTGCAGAATAGAAGACAAGACCATCAACAGGAACAAAATGGGGACGAAACACACTCGTCTGCTTATCTTGTGTGTTACGATTGCTATAGAATTGGTCCGTTTTATTAAACAGCTAGTACTTAGCAATACTGAAGCTGTTATTTTTAACTCTCATTTAAAAACTCAGTTTAGTCCATATCGTTTGCATTACGTTCTCTTTGTTCTATATTTGGTACCTTCTCTCCTTAAAATTACAAACGGACATCAACCTGATTTCAAATGGGAATATTTGAAAAAGTGTGACATATTAAGATTTGTACATAGACAAGTTTTACATGCGTTCTGTTTGGATGATTACATTCGGGATATTCACCAAGGCAACCTAAATCGACATGAATTGATGAGACATGAATGGGCTAGATTTGTTTCTTTCAACAACTTTCCACAGGCAGTATCACATGCTCCATCAGGCTTGATACTTGCAAGGGATGGCTTTTACTATACAGATGTTGATACAATTGTTGAATGTTTCTGCTGTAGACAAAGATTTGATGCATCAATACGAGAAAATACAAACGTAGTGCATTGTCATCATTCGGAAACTTGCGCATTTGCACTTAACAGTAGCAATACAAACGTTCCTGTTAATGGCGAAAGAGAAAACCGTAGTACATATTCTAATGGCAATGTCGAACGCTTCAATAGCTCCATGTATACAACAGTACAATCACGACTGGCTTCCTACCATAATTGTCTTATAGGATTATCGGGAATAACCTCAAGTTTAGCAAATGCTGGATTTTATCATTCTGGTTAGTAAGTTTATACAATTATAAGTTATCTTTTATAAATATTTTCATGTACACAAAAGACATTTCTTTAAATGCATTTTAAACAAACTTGACAACTATATTTTGAATTAATCAAAACAACTTTCTGCTAAATGGATTTAATACTCTAGATTCACATACTAAACTTGTATGCTTTGCTAACTTAATTCGGCACTTTGTCGAGAGAGATGTTTGATTCATAAATAACATCGATCCTAAAATGTTTAACTTGTCATTTTTAGTTTCTTTGTGTTGTTAAGAAGTATCCCTTCCCAGGTTTTTAAATACATGTCATTGGTAGTATTTAGTATTTCCTTTTTTATTTTAAAAAGGGAATTCCGCTAAAAGTATGCCTAACAATTATCTTGTTACAAGTATTCTTTTGCTATTTAACTGCACTATTTTACAGGCGGCACAGATAGTCAAATTACATGTTTTGCATGCGGGCTGAGACTTCCAAGACGGGAACTTGAGAACGACCCATGGAGAATACACGCGTTGCATTCTCCAAACTGTCTTCACGTGATTAGAACTAGAGGGACTGACTTTGTCCGATCGCTTACAACTGAACAGGTTAGCAATTTAAGTGTTTCAGTTAAATGTTTATATGTTTTGAAATATTAACAATACTGATTATAACTCTAACGGTCAGTCATTTTATCTTTTTGCTTCTTAAGTAGGTTTAAATTTCTTTTTTGAAATCAGCTTTTTTGTTTTCTTATTGTTTTGAATTGCCAAAGCATACATTCTTTTTTAGAAAAAATTCATTAACCTTTTCATCTGGTGACTTAACATAAAATAATGGCATCACTTCTTTAATTGATTAGAATCGATGTAGTAACCAAGCAACGGAAGAATCAGATGGATTAATTTACATGCATGAGGTGCAAAGACTGGTGCAAAAAGGGCATGATTTTGACAGGGTAATGGATGCAATTCAACAGTTACGACGTCTTAATGGTAATTTATGCATTTTACATCTTATGTTTTCATATGTGTCCTTTAAGTTTTGTTATCGAAACTTAAGATCAATTAAGAATTAAAATACGTATTCATGATAATATTTGATATCACTTGAAATGCACTGGTAATTTATTCTTTTTTTGTGCATTTCAATACATTGTTTTGTTGAGTGTTGTTGTATTTATTGTTCTTAAATTATTATCAATATTATTATTATTTTGTTGTTGTTGTTGATGTTGTTGTTGTTTTCTTAAATATACATCTGTACTTCATTTCTCTTAAAAGCATGCTCAATATTGATAAGTATTTCTTATCCTTCGTGATCATGAATTCAAATAATTTAGTGCTGAATAATTGATACCACCAAATATTGAGCTAGAGGACATTGTGAATGTAGACATTCTATTATGTAAAAAAAACTCAACCAAACAGAATTTCAAATATTTCATTGCTCTCGTAGTGATATCCCATTTTCCAGAACTACAATGATTTGTAGCTCGTCTGTTGAAGAAACAACCGAGCTATTATAATCGCGACAGCGTTGTTGTCGGCGTCGTCGTGCAAAAAACTTTACTGAAGTCCATTATCAAAATATTTTAGAAGTCGTAAACTTGAAACTTTGAAAACTGGCTGTTCAGGATAAGGCAAGGGAAATGATTCCGAAAGCTATATGTTTGGAGTTAAGAGGTTTTGTCAAAATTGGTTACCCTAAACAGACGAGCGTTTACACCTCATGCAATGCTCTTATCTTTCAATCGCTATGAATTCTGTAGTATAAACGACAGCTTATTTCATTATATTGTTTTAAAAGTCATTTTCATCAAACAATTATTTTGTGAAGAATCCATATAAAAGCAAAAATTGTTGACCACAAAAAATTCAATGTGATTTTGAAAATATCCTACTCTAATATACAAAATTGTAATGACATTTTCTTGTTTGCATGTAAAGGAGACAGAGAAATATCGGCAATGGATATTCTTGAATACATCAATAGGACAGAGCCTAATCTGACCGAACCTAATGCAGACAATTTCCTCTCCTCTGCCCTTAGACAGTTTTTCATGAAAAAGAAAGAAGAAAATATGGTTACAGAAAAAGACAGGTTGCAGAACGGTATGTTAAGTTATTTCTTTACAATGTTTGATATATTTATTCTATTTATTTGTTGTTGAAAAGTAGTGGCAGTAGATAATTGATACTGAACAATTTGAATGCACACTACAAATTCAACAATATATTTTACATAGAAAATTGACATCGCCTTCAGAACATTGTCAGTATTTTATGAGTTGCTGTGATGAAACTTCTATTTCACTCCATTTTTATATAAGAACCCTAAAGTAAGGCACACCTGACCATTTTCCAGACGTTGGATGTAGGACTGCACTTCCGAATATAAATAGAGAGGTTGCACAGGATTGGACACACATGTTATGCAAATCTCGTTTTCCTTCATAATCTTAATATAAGATATACCTCATAATTTTTAATTGCTAAATAATGCTAAACCTGAAATTCGCTATATTTACACCTTTAAGTTGTAACTCCAGAATATGCTCGAAAAAAAGAAAAACATTCTGTACAATTACTTATTGTATTTGATATTGTAAAAACCATATTTGTGTTATCAATATACTTGGTGTTGAATTAATTTAATAAACATGTTAATTGGATTGTAATTTAATATTTCAAATGAAACTATTTTTACAGAACTTCTCCGGCTGCAGGATGAAGTCGTCAGATTAAAGCGGGAAAAAGTCTGTAAAGTGTGTTTGGAGAAGGATATGTGCATCGTGTTTCTACCGTGCGGTCATCTCGTAGCTTGTGACGATTGTGCTCCACGTGTAAAAAAATGTCCTGTTTGTAGAGCCATTATCAAGGGTACTGCGAGAACATATTTGTCATGACGCTGATCCTGCTTTAGCCGAAAGTAATCCGTCTTAACGTTCAAGTCTGATGGACTTTATTTAATATTGTTATCCCATAAAGTATGATGGTTCGTTCCAAATTCAAACCTTGTCAAGATCAGTTTTTAAATTATATGTTAATTTTCCAGATATTCAGTACGTTTTGGTTTATTATTAGACAAAATCAGTTATCTATCCTGAACAGTGGTTAGAACATGCATATGTTAAATTAATCAAATTAAAACAAAAATCTCATTTTCTCTGTTTTGTGCCGTTTTTGACAGATTGGAAAGATTGTTTGTTTTAACTGTGTAAATGTGGTTTGAAGAATAATTTTGTTATAATAATGGCTAAAATTTCTTTATTATGGTTTAATAAGTTCAAAAAACTTTGTTTTAACTGTGTAAATGTGGTTTGAAGAATAATTTTGTTATAATAATGACTTAAATTTCTTTATTATGGTTTAATAAGTTCAAAAAACTTTCATTCACCTGACCCTACCTTGATCAATTATTTATATGCATGCATGTCGGCTAGTAGGTACACGCTCATCTGGTAATATAATGTTATACTTTATAGTTTATATCATTTGTATGCGCACAAAACGATTGTCTCATAAAATATCTTGCACGGTTTTTACCATTTAGCACATCTCAACATCTTAATGACAGAATTGTTAATAGATATTAATTATGATGAAAAAATAGACGTAACTGTAAAAGACGTGTCTTTTATTATGAAAGACAAGATGTTAATAAGGTGTCTGTTTAGTAACTGTTAAGAATAACATGTGTATGTCCACAGTAAAACAATATGTCTGATAATTATATTATTGCAAAGTTTGTTAACATTGAATGATGATAAGACAGGATATTGTTAATTCAATCCATGCACCACTGGGTCGGAATCTTCAATATTTCCATGTTAAATAATTGCCTAGACATTGCTGTATTCACAAGAATGATTGTTGTTGTTGCTTGTATTATATATCAAGTTTAATGTTTTCAAATATCACCAATATATGCCGACTGTTCTGTATGTTAAGGAAATGTATTTGGATGATGATAACATAATGATATTATGAAGACTATAATCTTCTTTAGTTAGCCGGTGCTAGAGGGCGTGATAAATATTGATTATTTTCTTTGTTTTTCACGAACAGACTCAATCAAACCGGGTCTGCAATTTTAACATAAATGTATGTTTCCATTGCCTTCGAAGGATCTCCACTTTTTAGAATTGTTAAAAACACAAATTTAGGTGTCAGATGATGTATGATAATTATTGATGTATGATAATTTTTGCTGATTTTTCGAGGTCAATGAAACAAAACCATTTAGTGTTAAAGATTGAATACTGCTTAAGCTGGAGCTAAAGAATGTAAGAGATGTTGCACTTTTCGTGGGTGTTGCACACAAACAGTTTCTGCGACTTTAACTATTTAATTATACCTATATTCGTACGATCTCCGTTTAGTTTCAAAAGAATTAAAAGATATTTTTGGAGGAAAAAAACACGATAACAACTTGATAATCTTTGTTATATCAAACAAGAATGTTTTAATTCATGTCATGTTGTTCACAAATGAATATTCGTATGATGTTATATGAAATTCAAATTGTCAGATATTGTATTGATTGCTTGTATAAGTGTATATTGTTTCATGAATGTGACAATAAAATGAGTAATTGAAAGTTGAAAGATTTTTGTTTTTGTTAATACAGTCTAACTTGCCCATGCGACCACGTGTATTAAGCGACTTTTGTCTTAAACGACCACTTTAAATTCCCCCCGATCATTTTCTCTCTATATCTTTAATGTATTAAGCGACTTTTGCTCAACGCGACCAGCGACCGCTAATTAGTCACCTTATTGACATCAATCTTTTCATTAAATGACCACTTTTACCTGTCAAGTAATTGTGTTTTTAGAGAACGCCACCTCGTTATGTCACAAGTGTCAGCAATCAAAACACAACAATAAACGTGTGAAAAACTCTATTTCCCATACCGTTTTAGCGTATGCAAATGAAGTTAAGTATACGCGTGACGTGTATTATCCAATAATATCGGATAAACAATGCAACGCTCCGCCCATACTGAGATGGTGTATACGCTTCGCTTGTTGACATTTAGACTGCATTGAATTGACCTTGAACTTGATCAGCCATTAAATTAATCGTAACAAATAGATGTAGTTTGTTTATTTCAAATGAAAAATGCACAACAGAAAACATCTTCACTAATAGGGTTTTCGTGTTGGAGACAAGGAAAAACAACGGAGAAGTTAAAAAATTCTGGAAAAAATGTCAAACATGTACGTAATGGATCAAAACTGTTTTGTCAATAAATATCAGAACGTTATTTTTACATTTGCATCCGTTTAGATTATCGAAGCGTACTTATTATTCAACATTTATATAAAAATGAAGTTGAAAAACAATCCCATCGAATAAAAAAGATGTCATTTATAAATTTTGACTTTTATATCATGCTGACTGTCTTAAGAGACCGTTTCATTAAGCGACCGTTTTTGGTGTTTCCCTTGCCCGGTCGCTTAATACACGTTTGACTGTATAAATAATGTTGAACTTGAATTTTTGTCTAAAGACTAGTTATATCTACCATACTATTATTATATTCTGAAGGAAAAAACTGTGAATTGATGCAGCTTATACACACCTCCCTAATCGTGTTTTTGTGTCTAAAATTTCATTGTTTTTAGGTGTAAGTGAAGGTATATATGAATTGTGATTTTCACAGTGTGGTTATATTTCTGTAGACTGAAAACTGCTTAAACTCGAGCTAGATGGTTTGAGAGAAGTTATACGTGTCATTGTTTCACTTTAGCAGACTCGAAAACATTTAGCTTACCTATGTTTTTCATTGCTCTTGAAGGATCGTGCTCGCACCTGTAAAATGGCAGCTGTACAAATAATTCATCTATCTAAGCATACTGATATTCTTCTGGTTCTTTGGAATCCTTGATTCAGATGGAGTGTGTTTTATTGCATTTTCGTAATCTCTCCTGAACGAACTCAATAAAACGTAATCTGCGAAAACAGATTTCAGTTTTAGTTTCTCTTGCTCTCGGGGGAATCCCGGCACATTGGTCATATAACAAATATTTGCTCATTAGTTAAAATACGTTTAACATGTGTGTTCTATTAAACATTGATTAATAAAACAACTGTCATGGTTTGATAATCAACAGGGTATATTATAATATTTCAAAATATTTCTATGCTATGTACTGCTATGTTTTTTCAGTCTGATTAAATAAAACAAGAGTTATCAATAGGTCAAAATATTTCATTTTCACAACATAGAATACAACGTAGTTTTTTTATTTGTTTGGGTCGTCAGACCAAACAAATAATGGTAGCGAAATTTCAGAATCTAATGCTGTTAATTGCAAGTGCCGAAAGTAGTCCGCTTTTTTGAAGCGGTAACTTCCCTTTATATGTAAACTAACGCCGAAAAATTCAGGGGAGATCACTGCGTAATTTAGATTGTCAAATGACAGGCGCATTAATTTTCAAGCAAAATAATTCCCGAATGGTCGAAGATTTCTAATATTGTTTTATTCTTCATAGATATACATGCTTATTGTAAGCTCCATGATTATTTTCATCTGTGTTAAACAACACTTAGCGTCGTTACAAACCCTAATATAGAATAATATAGTTTTCTTCAGACTGTTAACAAATAACTTCACCGTGGCCGAGGGGTTTTCGCGCTCGCTAAGAAAGCGAGAGGTCTGGAGTTCAAATCCCAGTTAAGGCAACTCATTTTTTTTCTAATTGTTTAAGTCAAATAAACATTAGATTGAATGGACCTTTCCAGTTTTACGTAGCGGAACATTTAGCCACACCTTTTCCATTCATTGCTAGGTCTATTGCTCACAAACATAACCATATGTTCTTTTGTGCAAACCAGGTCAACCAGTGACTATGTATTATCTCAGTGTAGCAATTGGATAACAA